GGGGGGGGCCCAGCCGCAGTGGGTGGTGGAGCGGCCAGAGCCGCATGCCCCAGAAGCTCCAATGAAGCTGCCTACAGGGGGCAGGGGAGTCGATTTTTTTTGCGGAACCTTTCGTTTCACGTCACGGAACCCCAGGGTTGCGCAGAACCCCATTTGGGAAACACTGTGCTAGACTGTTCGAGGTTTTTTACATTTTTTCTGAGTATATCCATTGGGGGCATCGGTAGCTTACACGCAATGCCAGGCCTTTACAACCCTACAAAGAAGCTGCCTACAGGGGGCAGGGGAGTCGATTTTTTTTGCGGAACCTTTCGTTTCACGTCACGGAACCCCAGGGTTGCGCAGAACCCCATTTGGGAAACACTGTGCTAGACTGTTCGAGGTTTTTTACATTTTTTCTGAGTATATCCATTGGGGGCATCGGTAGCTTACACGCAATGCCAGGCCTTTACAACCCTACAAAGCACATTTCTCTTTGCCAGGTCACTGAAATGCAGCCACCTCTAGGGAGGACTACAACTGCTTGCTACATGGCAGTGCGCACAACCGTGGGGGAGAGCAAGGTCATGCACAGGGAGCCAATCCCAGAATTATCTTTTACGCGAGCTCACCCCAGCAGGGGCTTGCCTCCGGCACAGGAAACAGGCGCTCAAAAGAGTCGGCCTTGGCCGCTGGCAAGCCACCAAGATGCGCTCTGATCCTGCTGCCCTCTCTGACTCCTGGGGTGCCGGAGTGCGATTCGGGCCAGCGCGCTGCTCTTTCGAAGCCGTCCAGCTTGTGCGCCCAGCCTTCCAACCCACAGCAGCCAGACACACCAGAGACAAAGGGCCAAGGGAAAAGGCCACCCCTGCCCCCATGGGCATGAGGGCACCACAACCTGCCTGTGCCGGGCTGTAAGGGAAGTCCCCGATCTGTTCTCACCCATCCCAGGCCCTGGCTGTGCTGCGGTGACATTGCAGGTCAGACCCCTGCTCCGCACTATACGCTTTCAGGCTCGAGGTGGGCAGGACCCTTCTCCCTCAGCATCAGCCCTGCCACAGGGGCCGCGTTCCCCTGTCCACGGCCAGCCTTGACGGCCCTCTGGGCTGGCGATGTCGCCCCTCGGGGCCGAGCCCCTCTTGCTCTCTCTGGCTACTTATCCCTCAGCCTCTGCACACACCCCACATATACACACACACACTCCCCACACACCCCACATCCCTCAGCCTCTGCACCCCCCCACACACACACCCCACATCCCTCAGCCTCTGCACACACCCCACATATACACACACACACTCCCCACACACCCCACATCCCTCAGCCTCTGCACCCCCCCACACACACACCCCACATCCCTCAGCCTCTGCACACACCCCACATATACACACACACACTCCCCACACACCCCACATCCCTCAGCCTCTGCACCCCCCCACACACACACCCCACATCCCTCAGCCTCTGCACACACCCCACATATACACACACACACTCCCCACACACCCCACATCCCTCAGCCTCTGCACCCCCCCACACACACACCCCACATCCCTCAGCCTCTGCACACACCCCACATATACACACACACACTCCCCACACACCCCACATCCCTCAGCCTCTGCACCCCCCCACACACACACCCCACATCCCTCAGCCTCTGCACACACCCCACATATACACACACACACTCCCCACACACCCCACATCCCACATATACACACACACACTCCCCACACACCCCACATCCCTCAGCCTCTGCACCCCCCCACACACACACCCCACATCCCTCAGCCTCTGCACACACCCCACATATACACACACACACTCCCCACACACCCCACATCCCTCAGCCTCTGCACCCCCCCACACACACACCCCACATCCCTCAGCCTCTGCACACACCCCACATATACACACACACACTCCCCACACACCCCACATCCCTCAGCCTCTGCACCCCCCCACACACACACCCCACATCCCTCAGCCTCTGCACACACCCCACATATACACACACACACTCCCCACACACCCCACATCCCTCAGCCTCTGCACCCCCCCACACACACACCCCACATCCCTCAGCCTCTGCACACACCCCACATATACACACACACACTCCCCACACACCCCACATCCCTCAGCCTCTGCACCCCCCCACACACACACCCCACATCCCTCAGCCTCTGCACACACCCCACATATACACACACACACTCCCCACACACCCCACATCCCTCAGCCTCTGCACCCCCCCACACACACACCCCACATCCCTCAGCCTCTGCACACACCCCACATATACACACACACACTCCCCACACACCCCACATCCCTCAGCCTCTGCACCCCCCCACACACACACCCCACATCCCTCAGCCTCTGCACACACCCCACATATACACACACACACTCCCCACACACCCCACATCCCTCAGCCTCTGCACCCCCCCACACACACACCCCACATCCCTCAGCCTCTGCACACACCCCACATATACACACACACACTCCCCACACACCCCACATCCCTCAGCCTCTGCACCCCCCCACACACACACCCCACATCCCTCAGCCTCTGCACACACCCCACATATACACACACACACTCCCCACACACCCCACATCCCTCAGCCTCTGCACCCCCCCACACACACACCCCACATCCCTCAGCCTCTGCACACACCCCACATATACACACACACACTCCCCACACACCCCACATCCCTCAGCCTCTGCACCCCCCCACACACACACCCCACATCCCTCAGCCTCTGCACACACCCCACATATACACACACACACTCCCCACACACCCCACATCCCTCAGCCTCTGCACCCCCCCACACACACACCCCACATCCCTCAGCCTCTGCACACACCCCACATATACACACACACACTCCCCACACACCCCACATCCCTCAGCCTCTGCACCCCCCCACACACACACCCCACATCCCTCAGCCTCTGCACACACCCCACATATACACACACACACTCCCCACACACCCCACATCCCTCAGCCTCTGCACCCCCCCACACACACACCCCACATCCCTCAGCCTCTGCACACACCCCACATATACACACACACACTCCCCACACACCCCACCCAGACATACACACACACACACACAGCTTGCCCTGACAGCGCCAGGCTCCTTTAGCACCTGGAGATTATTAACCATTGGCCCCCATTCTCTGAGGCTGCCCTGACATGTCTGGGGGCCAGTGCTGTCCTCCCCTCCCTCACCCCGGCCTCCATCTCCCCTCTCAGGCGACTCAGTTTCCTTATGTCCTAGAGCAAACACTGGGCTAAGAAATCCCACGTGCTCCCTGCTAGTGTGGTCATGTCTCCCTCCCAGCAGCGCTGGGCCCAGGGAGCAGATCCCAGCCCCGAGGTGGGGGCCTGGGCCTTCTGCCCCCTTCTGGCCCTCCCTCAGCAGAGGGGGAGCAGCTCCTGAGCCTAGCAGCAGCCAAGTCCTCTCAGTGCCTCAATAAACCCAGCGAGCCCTTGAGGGGCACAGACCTTGGCCAAGCTGCCCTATTCCAGGACAAAGGCATGAGCGATGGGGCCAGAGAAGGGCTGCTCAGAACACGGCCTGTTTTCTCAAAAGTCTCTCTCTGGAGTCCCAGAACCAGCCAGACCAGGACGGAGAAACACTCCTCCTCCCCCCCACACCCACAGCCAGTGAGAGCCCACAGCAGGCTGGGGACAGTGAGGAGCTGGTGAGAGACGCCCCAAAGAGAAGGATTCACACCCCAGCAACCCTGCAGTCTTGCTGTGCCAACACCACCTGCTGTGAGGGGAGGGATGGGCAAGGAAGGACAAACACACTCAGTCTTGGCCCCCGTTCCTGAAGCAACGGCACGCTAGCTGAGCCATGCTGTACCCCCTGCCCTAGCCGAGGTGTGCCGTACTCCGTGCTAGCCAAGCAGTGCTGTACCCCACTCTAGCCCCAATGCCCTTAT